GCTTGTACCTGTACATGATGTATCTTGGTTCTTATGTTTTCCCCATTACCTGTGGGCACTTCACTCCCTCCACCCTTCTCTATTTACATAGACTTCATTTCCTTTTTTTTCTTTTCTCATAATTTTTCCTTTCCATTCTTTTCTTTCACCATCTCCTCCCACCACCCCTACCCTTTTGGACCTTTTCCTATTTCAAAGTATTAATTATTAGTTATTAATCCTTTTAATCCTTATTTACATTCTCAGTTTCTCATGCTGTTTCTTTTCTCTTAACTGCTTGTAGAATTTTGTTCTTCTGTTGGGTTTCTGGAATCTGAACTATTATATGCCTATGTGTAGATTTTTTTTTTGATCAAGGCTAGTTGGAGTCCTATGTGCCTCACTTGTCTGTATGTCAAGTTCTTTTCCCCTGCTTGGGAAGTTTGCTGCCATTACTTCTGTGAACAGTTTTATTATGTTGTTTGCACTCTCTCCTGTTTCTTTGTTGACTCTCATGAGTCTTATGTTATTTTTCTTTGCATTGTCTAGCAGCTGCTGGATTTATTTCTCGTGGTCCCTTACTATTTTAAAGAAATTCTTCTTTTCCTGGTCACTAATTACAATCCTGTCTTCTACCTCTGAAATTCTATCCTTGCATTGGCTTATTCTGCTGCAGAAACTTTCAATGGAGTTTTTAATCTCCTGGAAATCTGTTTGCAACTGTTTTATGGATTCCATTGGTTTCCTATGTTGTGATTCCATCATGTTCTTCAGCTCCTCTATTTTCAAATCTGTGTACACTCTAGATTCATTAATCATGTCTTGTACTATGGGCACAGTCTCTGATGTTATCTGAGAAATTATTTCTGATTTCATTTTTTCCAGGTCCTCTTTTGTTGACAGTTCAGCGAGCCCAGGTGGTTGAGTATCAGATTGTTCCATCTCACTTCCCTTTGGGGTTGCCTTAGGTGATTTGGAAGTCTGGTTTTGAGATTTATTCACTTGTCTTCTCATTTCAACAGATGGAGTCTGCTGTGCCTTTTTTGAGGTGACTTTTTGGTCACCCAATGGTCTTGAATTCTCAGCAAGCCACCAATCAGCCTTTATTCTGCTGCTCACCAGTACACCAATTCCTGGGTTCAGAGTTGTGTCCTTCTGGATTCCTGAGCAGACCTGTTTTCTTGGAGGGCTTCTGGCTGGGGCCTGTGCACACTTGGGATTGTATCTAGGTGTGCCTCTCCCTGGGACCCCTATGTAGCTGTTGTCTGGGAGGGCCTGTGGCTGGGGGCTGTGCACCCCGGTTCCTGTTTTCTGTACAGGCCTTCGCTAGGGTCTCCACACACTTACCAATGGTATTGGGGCGAGTCTCTGGATCTCGCTTGTGTGCTTGTGTAGCTCTTTTCCAGGCAGGTCCTTTGCTGTAGCCAATGGTATGGTGGGCCTCTGGCTGAAGCTCATGTGCCTGTGCAGTTCTTTTCTGGGCAGGTCTTTGGCTTGGGTAGGTGTACAGGAGCCTCTGGGGTCAGGTCGGAGCCCTGGCTGGGATCTACCTGCAGCTGCACCAGTCTGTGCCTCACAGCTGCTCCCTGGGATCTGTGTGCACTTATGGATCTGGATAAATTAGCTTCTGATAGCTCACTAATCAAATATAAGAAGGAAATGTCAAGTTGGGAAGCACTGATGAAACCCTTCATCATAATCCAAATCTACGAAGAGGTAGAAAAAAGGAAAATGACCATGTCTACCACTGCTTGCAACAGTTGCTCTGAATGTCAGTCTTGGCAGATGAGACAACCAAGAGAAAGCATTAGAATTGTTGTAAAGGATTGCTGTGGGAGGCCACCTGGCTGGCTTCATTACTGTGCTGTTGTTAGTATCTGAGGGCTGCCTTCTCTTAGACTGACACAGAAGACCTAGTGACAAGCAGTCCAGTCCTATGTTATCTAAAATATTACAGAGTGGTATTAGCTCGAAAATTCCATACCCAGCAAGCTATTGAGTATGGATAGAGGAGTGTCTGCACACACGTACAAGGCTGTCCTGGGAAGAGAAAGGAAGACATATGACCTGTGTGAGCATTATTGCAGGCAGAGGGAGCAGTAATGACTGGAATTTGTTAAGTCTACCTATGGCCTGCCACCTTGGACTATGCATGGAAAACCATCAGGCTTCAGGGCTGTTCAGTGTATATCTACATGTCCTTGTAAATCACAAAACTAGATCTTGTTCCTTTTTGTCCTCCACAATCGAGAGTCAACAGAATGGGATGGCTCTGGCTCTTTCATGAGCTGACAGGCAAATCATTTAGTCTTTCATTCCCTCAGGTTTTTCCCCTGTAAAGTGGGAATCAACCGTCCCGATTCATAAAGTAGCTGTGAAGATTGACTAGAGTTCATGCATGTAGGCTTAAGCATTGCCTGGTATATAGTAGTTGCCATGTAAGCATTGGTTATAGATCTCTCTCTCTGGGCTTTTCCCATCCTTTCCCAGTGTTGCCAGTGTAGCCAGCTCAGGCTGTCACAATCTCTCTCCTGAACAGCTTTTCTTTATTCTAAATCCATATCTTTCCCAATACATCATATACAGTATCAACACTTCCAACTTTCAGAAGTCCACCTGCCATCTTCTACCTGTCTTATTCAGTGGCTCTCCAGAACTCATTACATAATGTCTAAAGACCTTGATTGCCAGCTCCACTGTAGCCCACCCACAGATCTGAGGTTTTACTCTCAGACTGTACCTTTCACTGAACCTTCTGAACCTGTGCTTCTCTGGAACCATGATAGTTTCAATTCCTTTTACATCAGATGTGTCTGACACACAGCCCTGGACAGTGAACAGCACAGGCCCACAGGATCATAAAGTTTTCACATTGCTATATGATTTTCAGTGATATTTTTCATCATTTGATTGTGTGGTGCTGGAAGGCGGACTGTGTATGAGCTAATGGAAGCTGTAAAGGGGAGGGCAAGGTCTAATCCTAACTCTAGCTCATAGCCAACCACACACAGAAGAATGGAAACCCACATGTATCAGATGTTGCATGCACTTGTGCGATGTGGTGATTAAAGAGCAGTGATTATTGATGATGGTTATTTTAACCTACCTACATAGGTCTGCGTACCTGTGAAGACAGCTGTTTATTGTTATTAAGCAGACTTGTAAGTTTTCTCTTTTAATTATTAAACTTGGGCTTGTGTTATTTCTTTTTAACATTATAATAAAAATATGAAAAAGGAAGCTTTGTTTTTTTATATACATCAACTATATTATGTATTTTATATGTGGCCCAAGACAATCCCTCTTCTCCCAGTGCATCCCAGGGAAGCCAAATGGTTACATACCCATACTCTCTCCATGTGCCCATATTCTCCTCTCTGGTCTCTATGTTCTCTTGTTTTTATACCAATGCTCATTGTTTTCTCCATTTGGATTTTATTTCTCTCCACCAATATCTCCTATTCCAAATTCTGATCAGCCTTCAAAGTCAGGCCTGAATGCCACCTCTCACTCGGGGCCTTTACTGACCCCACTACCATTTTACCATCCCCTTGGTCTTTGCCGACCCCACTGCGCTTCACCTGGTGTTACAGTCATCAATTTATATGCCCCCTATTTATGTTCCACATTCCAGCCTTTCAGCTCCTTGGATCGGCTCTGATTTTTCAGTATGTTCCATATCCCAACCCTATGCTCTGCACAAAGCAGACACTCTGCAAACATGAATGGCACATTCATTGAGAAGTTTGGACGGATAGCCGGGTCCTGTGGTTCATCCTTTCCGTGACTTATTCTCAGTCACCTTATTGCTCCTTCACATGTGTGCTTACTTTAGTATTCCAACTTCGAAAGTAAATGGGATGAAAAGGATCCTATCAGCAAGAATTCCAAACACACAAAATGGACAATCAGTCCTCAAGCCACAGATTTCTTTCTATGCAGATGTGGGGAAAAGATATTGGGAGTGCAGTACCTTTATACCTGGTCACTACAGCTGCGTTGGTGCTGAGAGGCTCTTGGAAGGTGACAGTGAGAGACACGCTGCTGGTTACCATGAGACAGGCATTGGTTGGCATCTCAGGGGCTCCTGGGACAGAAGGAAAAACACAAGGATCTTAGCTCAGCAAATCCTTTTCAAACAATGTTCCTGACTCTTCATAGGATACCAGAAAATGGACACTATGGAAACATTGTAGTGTCTGATAGCTTTTGCTTTTGAACATTTTTGTTAGAAGTCTCAATGGCTTTCATTTGTTGCCACTGTGGTCTTCTTTTTCTTAAATTCTCTTTTATTAGTACATATTTGCAGCACATAATGTTTACATTCCTTGAGGGCAGTTGGACATGTATATAACGTCTTAATTCCTTTTTTCATCCCCCCCTTTGTCACCCTTTCCTTCATCTCTTGATTCTTCTTTCTGTTTGAGAAATATCTATCACTCTACTTCCTATTATCTATCTTTTATTTTGCTCTTTATTTATATTTTGGGTTTCTCATATAAGAGAAACCATGTGATATTTAATCTCGTGTGTCTGATTTATTAGAACATCTTCTGAAGGGGTAAAGAATGCTAGTGGAGCCTTCCCAAATGGTCCTGAAAATACAATGGGAGATTTGGGCTCAGCCAGCAAGAAAGGGGCAGAAAGTGACAGCAGCTTCCTATTTAGATACAGTTCATAGGATACTTTCACATAAATCATATCATTGAGACATTTTGCAGCCTTGCTGGGGGCAAAGGGCAAGTAATGGTACCCTCACTTTTGGGATGAGGAAACTGCGGGCCAAAGAGGCCAAATTCCTCATTCAGAACATGGTGAAGACACAATAGGACGAAAGCGCATGGCTTTGGATGGCTGAACGTGGGCCCTGTCTAAGATAGAATTCTAACTTAGTTTGTTTTTGGTCTGCTTCCTCTTACCTCAGGTAGTGTTTCTAAGAAAAATTGTGGACACATGTCATGCCTGGTAACTTCAGGCTATAAAGGACTGATGATGGTTTTAGGTATTCCTTAGCACTCAGAAAATGTTTTGTAAGGTAGAAAACCATGAAATCTGGCATCAAGTTTAGAAAGATGTCTCTTTCTAGCATTAACCTATCCTAAGTATGGCACAGTACAAATGCACTTCTTAATGCAATTGCTGAGTCTTTGTAAGAATCCACATACCAGCGTTGCTGAGATTATTAATGTTGAAAGCAACCTTTCATTAATACTACTTGAGTTATTTGTTTCAAAGAAAAGGTTAGGCCTAGATCATTGTGTAGTGCTACCTAAAAAATCATTTTCATTGCCTTTGGTCTTTTTCTATATTAGATTTAGTTTGTTCATTTGAAGATTATCTAGGAAAAAGCAGGGAACTTCAGTCAAATGAACTGACTTTTCCCTTGTGTTTAAATTTCAAGTCTAAGTTTTTTTGTTATTTAAATAAAATCTTCTAGAATGAGAGTTTAATATTTCACAAGTGTCTGGGCTGCATATTTTGCTTTTATCCTGGGGGCTGCACTCAGTGGCACTTTCCACTGCTGATGAGCACGATCCAACAAGGTTTTCCTTAAATTAACCAGAAGAATTGGTAAAGACAGAGAAACTGCAGGAAAAAAAGCATAATTCACACGCAGATTTGATTGATTGTCCTCTGTGGCTTACATTCATTGAAGTTCAGTTTACAGCTCTGTATAAAAAAATGCAGCAGAGGGTTGAAAACAACTTAAACTTGAGCTTGAAGCAGAAACTAGACAAATAGGCAAACAAATATTTTTCCATCTCCACATCCCAAAATATAGCCACTTAGTGCTATAATGACCATTCAGGTCATTAGGTTTGGGGTGTAGCGGGTGGAAAGTGCTAGATGAGTGTGACATGGTGGAGTGAGGCCAGGGGCACTGAGGTCTCATAGCTATGGTCAGAGAAACTATCAAGAGCCAGAAAATCAAGCAAGACAAAGACCCTTTTACAGCTTCTCAGAGCCCTTGCTCCAAACAGGCGGACAACGGCCATCCATGACCCTGTGGAGTGAAAAAAAGTCTGGAAAAGAAGGCCTGGCTGTCTCAACCCAAAACTCAGTCTAGTCAAATGTAGAAGCCTCCTGAGTATACTCACTGGCATGTTCGAAGCCCGTTTTCATGCGTCTGTAGAGCCGGTGCCTCCACTCCCAAGCTTTCAGCTGTTTCTCTGTGTTGTCCAGGGTGAGTCCTTCATTCTCCACCTGGGCAGACAGTTCATTCACCCTGTCCTGGGCCTCCTGGACCAGTGTGTTGAGGTGCATTGTGCGGCTTTCCAGGCTGACAACTAAGGGGAAAGAAACAGGATGACTCCTCTCTTTCTGGGGAGACGCTGCTGCATTGGCAGACTATACCTGAGAGTGTACAATGATGGGCTTTAAGAAAAAGCCAGGACAAAGTGGGATCTGTATTCATTATGAACTATCTTATTATGAAAAGGTCCAACTAGTGACATTTACAATCAGATCAAGTGGTATATTCATCAAATTAAGATATTCTTAATTGCTCTCGGGCCATCCTGTCACATACATTCCAATTAGTTGCTTAGCACAGATAATTATAATTGCCCAGATTTGTTTGCAGGACATTGAGAGGCACAAACACATAGGGGGAGAAGCTCTAAGGGCTGGGAAAGTCCTGGGAGAGGTTACCCAGGAGGCAAGTTGTATTCTACCAAATTTATTTGTTCCTGTTTTGGTTTTTGGTAGAAGCCGATACAGATTTTGTGCTCTTATTACATTCTTCCAGGCATACAGAAAATTTTGCGTGTGTGTTTTCGAGTTACAGTTTTGTTATTATTGATCGTTTTATTACTAATAAAGTATGGTGCAATGGGTGCCACAGTTGAGTTAGTGAGATCTGATGGCTGAAAAACTTGGGCGTGATCACCTTTGATTGTGGTCCGCTTATAGGATGAATTTTCCAGCGGTGCCTATGACCACGAGGGCCATTTTGACCAGCTCCTTTTGCCAAGAGAGGCTGTAGAACTTGGCATTTATATTTTACTCAATGCATAGTAGTCTTCATTTGATTTATGTTGTCTCATTTACATAATCCACCCTTGCATGAGTGAACGTTTCAGGGATAGAACTTTCTTGTTCTTGTGCTTCTCATAGTCTGTCAATGGCTCTTAAGCATGTGAGGGCCCATGGGATCCCCTAGTCACTCCAGGAGAGCCCCTCATGGTCACGGATGGGGGGAAATCAGCCTTTTGATGGAAATGTGGTAGGAGATCACACAAATGTTGAAATAAATCAGAATCAAGGCCTATAGATTTGTTGCTGAAATGTTGGATAGTCCCTGTGACCAAAACAATATTCCCCCCTGGTGGGTGGGAAAGAAATTCATCCATTTCATTCTACTAATTAAGGGGGGAAAATATTATGAAGATAACTGAAGTGAAAATTTGTTAGGTGTATTTTGAAATGGAAATTAGGTGGTTGTATATTCATATTCTCTGTGTTCATAGGCATGTTTGGATTAATTACAGGAAATGAATACTAATTTATTATTGCCCTTGCACACCATCAGTCTAAATTTATTTACAGATGAGGTCAATGAAAAATTAGTGGAGTCTTTTCTTTTTCTTTCTTTCTTCTTTCTTTTTAAATTTTCTGTTTAGAACACTCAGGACTGTGTTTTGCTACAGATTTGTCATGGTTAATGAATGTTGCTGTAGCAGTCAATCATGTACTCTAAATACTGTTACACTTTTTTTTTTAAAGCCTCAGTCATGAGCCATGACAGAAAAATAAACAAATAAATATAAAGCTAAAAAACTCTTTCACTGAGCAGCTACACTGTGCAGAATCCCCCGGGAAGGCTAAAGGAGGCCAGAATAAATGATAATATAAGTGCTGTGGATGTAGGGAAGCAATGATGGTGTGTGGACATGAACATTTTGGAGAAAAAATACACACACACACCCATACACACACACAAACTCAGACACATACTCCAGTGGAAAAATTGGCAATATTAGTAGCCTCAAGGTGCAATTTCCTGAAGTAGTGAGATTGACAAGTCAGTACTAAATGCTGTTAATTTAACTAACTTCAGATTAATGGTAGAGTCTGCTGTGACTGAAACCCTCAAACACAGTCTCATTATAGCCTTGCTGGGAAAGTCCTAAATATAGGCATTGACAGTTTAAAACAAATTCGTATACATTTGTGTATTTTTAGACATAGGTTAGGCGTCAGAGTTTGTGTCACAGTTTTCAGGTTGATTAATTGACCCAGTAACTGCACCCTCTACCCACTGCCCCCTCCTCCTTCCACTCCAAAGTATAGAGAAAATGGGGGAATTGTCCTTGTGAAGTTATTCAGTGAGCCTTTATTGTAGGTCTGATGTTTGAATTGCATGCATGTGTCAACACTTGGGTGATAGACACATGATTTATAAAAATAAATTTTTCTAATACTACAAAATCCCCCCTATTAATTTTTATATCCTCTACAGTTATTACTGGTGTGAATTCCAGGTGGCACTTCAGATGGACAGCTTCTCTTGGGCCGTGCTGGGCACCCCTGGCATTTTTCCTGCTTTCCTTAGCACCACACATTTTCTTTCTGCACCTTTCCTTTCCTCCTAGGTTTTAGACTGGATGAAATTTGAGTTGTAGTAAAAGACAAAGCGTGGTAAAGCATTTTGCCTCTTCAGAGACTAACAAGGAAGCTCCACAGACTTATAGTCAGGTGAACTTTCCAAAATTATTTGTATCCCTCATGTTCTTCAACATGAACTCTAACGCGATACCATAGTGATGACGGCTGGGTGGGGATGTAGTGGAATCTCTGAAAGCACAATATGAAGATCTGTGTCATTCTGGACTTCCCAATTTTACATGCAGATTTTGATGAAAGCCTGTTATCTGGTTTAGGGACAAACACCTTTACTATGGAGGAGAATGGAAATTTTGCTAAACATTGCAAAAAAATTAAAAAGAAAAACAAACGAAACAGAGATCTCTCCCTTTTTTCAGATCCAGTTCCCAGGTACGCTGGAGAAGACGCACACTCATTTGCCTCTGTTGTCAGAAGGAATTTCTTGGATTAGTAAGAGAGGCAGTAACTGAACTAGTGGTTTCCAACCATTTCACCAAGCAAATCTTTATGTATTTTTCCAATGGATTTTTAATAGCTGAATAAAACACTCTTTTGCGTGATTTTTTTTTGCTATCTAACCAGCTGACTTACAAAGTAATCGTGTTTTTCCTAATTATTAATGACCTATTTGGGTTCCAATAGAAGCATCTGTTCTGATGAGATAATCAACCTGAGTTAATATATTTTAAGCAGAAGCAAGGAAATATAATTATATTACACTAAGTAATTTTATCCTGAATAATACAGTGATAGGGTAGGTTTTGACTTCTTAGAAAATGTCTGGGAACCTCATCCTATTTTTTTCAACCCAGGAATGGGAGCCATTTCAATCGCCTTATTTTAAAGATGAAGAAATTGAAACCCGGGAAGGTAGGATGACTTAGAAATGATTTCCTTAAAAACTTTAAAATACTCATTGAAATTCTTTGTAAACCAAATGGAATATGAATCAACCTATTATTTAAATATTGCAATTTTCTAATCACTATTTGGCATGAGATTGGTGAACTCATTTTGGCTGGCTGGTTGGGCTCAGAAAATAGGAAGGCTATATCTATTTTATGATTGATTTTCCTGTCCATCTCTTTCTCTTTTTCTAGTGTCCAATCATTCTCTTTCACTTTCACCCATTGGGTATTTCCCCCCTGAATCTTGCACTCCTGCTCTTTTGAAAGTTTGACCTTCTCTCCCATTGCAGTTGGTCCCTTCCCCAGCTGAGAGCCACTGTCCCTGGGAGCAGTCAGAGCCAGCACAATAGAGGGTCTGTGGGTGTGTGGCAAGCAGTCCAGCTGGGGTAAGACCACTCTGTGCTCCTGAAACAGGCTCCGTGCTATTGTGGTGTTAATTATCAACAGCATTTCTACCACCCAGTGCTTCTGAGTGGGTATTTGTTATAAGACCTGCCCAGCTAATTAACTATGAGATGGGGTGGGGGTTGGGTGGCAACTTGATGTCCAAAGAATACAAATACAGTTACTGTTTAAGCCCTGAGATAAATAATGATCATGGACTGAATGGATTTTCTTCACTATTGGAATCTAACCTATGATTGGCCACTACTTACTATTTCTTAATTTTACCCTTACCCCCACAGTTGGTGAATTAGGGCTTCTTTGATAATTGCTTATAGCTTGAAAATATAATGTGGGTAAAATGTAAAACTAATTTTAATTTTTTAATTGAGGACTTTACAGAACAATTTATTTTGTTTGCTTGTAAAGAATGGAAACAATGGACTCATTTGCAAATTACTAACAACGTGCCATTTTAGCAACAGCTTTTCTATTAATAACATTTTCCTCATTTTTACTGATGAGAAAAATGAGGCACTACAATAATCATTTAATCTCAGTGGTAGAAGTATCCTTACAACTAACCTTTGATGCCTCTTCCCAAGGCCCCTTGGCCACTTGTAATCTTCAAGAGGGGAGCTCACTGCTTATCAAGGCAGCCTCACCCATTTTCACATGATTCTGGACAGAGTTTCCTTATCTTGAGCTGAAGTCTGCTTTTCTACTGTTTTCAAAAATGGACAAAATTCATGAAAGGCTTTGGGATCCTGTAAATCAGTGCTACCCCTAAGAGATACATGATCTTAGCCAGTTACTCTGCTGTACTGAGCTCAGATCTCTCATATGTAAAACTAGCATAATAGTGGTGCCCATCTCATAAATTGTAATGATGATAATCTTTGCAAAGAAGACTCTCAATTAATAGCAGCTCATATAAGCACATCCATTAATTGTATATTTTTAGAGTCCCTTAAATATAAAATACTTGTTTTAATGAAATAGCTCAATGTTCTTTCATCAAAAAATGGTCTTGACTTAGATAAAAATTTTCCATTCCAGCTGCTGTTTAGAAATACAATATGCACTCATAAGGGTGTCAAATTCAACCCCTATCTGTTATTTCAAAGGAGAAAATAAGGCCACTTATATTGCACTGAAAGCTAATATCTTCTGAGAAACCAAGAAAGGGAGTTAATAAAATTTATCTTTACTGATCAGAAGTGGAAATCTTCTAACAACTTCACAACTGACTTGTTTGAAAGTAGGAGTATCAAAAGAAGTAATATAGAGGTATTTTAAAAATTAAGTGTGTTAAAATTGCTAATAATAGAGAAACTCAAAACCCAAGTTCCAATTTATCTGTCTTGTTCAGGTTCAGGACTCAAAAC